ATTGGTCGTGAATAATGACAATATTTCTTACCCCAATTGCTAGTTTTGCTTTGTTTCCATCAACAGTCAGTGTTTTTACTTTGAAGTCAACACCTATATATCACAAAAAATAATTTACTTGTTATTAACTACTCTTTTTCACAGCTGTCATTTGGGATCGTCAAATATTGAATGACTAGTTATTAACCCTATAACCAGGTCTAATAATTTAGCAACCAGTTGACATGGAATAAAGATTGCACACTGATAAAAACTTATGATGATTAGCCTGAAACATGTAATACAATCTGTATTTTTAAAATGTGTGTTAAGTAGTGATTGTCCTTTACAGTAGGTCACATGGTGGGCTTTAGATCTCTGCCAATGAAAAGGAACAAAAAAGAACATCAAATGACAATCTAATTTGGCATGTTATTTGACCATGACAGCAACCATACAGCAGTTTGAGTTTCCAAGAAAATTTCAGGTTTCAAAGGTAATTCCTTGACTCACCGTTGCAACTTAATGGACTTTATTATTTGATCAGGATAAAACAAGAAGAATAGAAACCTATTAGATCCTGGCACAGCATGATTACACATGTAATGGTGACTTAACATGGTGTACAATTTTCAGCACCTTTCATGTCATACAAGATGCATACCATGGAAAAGACTAAATTGAGTGGTCTAATTTTTTCAAGGCAACCTGGCTGAGAGAAAAGTGGCCATGGAAAGGAGTGAATGCATCATGAATGTAAACACCTCAAACCCCGCTGCTGAAGTTTGTTTTGTACATGTATGTAGAGATGCCAACCTAAACAAATTGAAATCTGGGAGACTGCCAGTTTTACCTTCTTGACCCTAAGAAGGTGTGTTTAAAGTCAACAGTGGCTGATTTAACCACAAAAATGTGTCAAACATCAATGAAAATCTCCTCCCAAAAGGGAAAAAATCAACTAAAATAAGTGTGCAAGTAACATACTTTTAGTGCTTTCTTTGATATCTGGGAGATTTGGTGATCTGTGTGGGAGACGGAGAGGTTTGGTCTGTATCTGTATACTGTATCCGTGAGATTTCCGTAAAAACTGGGATGGTTAGCATACACTGTACATGTAGAGGTGTATACTGGCATATTCAATCGTCCCCAATCAAACTGTCAAAGTCACTTGAGGTCAATCCATGGACTGAGTTCAGTAGAGTTCAGTAATTGAACAAAATCAATCTCATACAAAAATGATTATTCAATCAAACTCAATCGAACGTTTCATTTCCGAACTCTTGATTTTTGTAAAACTGTTCCTGAAAATCAATAACACATTTTTTGAAGCTCGTTACTATGGTAGAATCATGTGTGTTTTGTGTTTTGAGACCACACAACATGATCTTGTTCAAGCGAATTTATTCACCGAGTTCGGTTGCGGAACTCAGTAAAACACAATCTAATGAATTGCTTTCAGTTGTGTTCAATTTGTTTGATTGAGTGGTATCAAACTCACTCAAACTTTAGCGTTCGATTTTGTTGGATTGCCAAACTCAAACAAACTCAGTCCACTGGTTGAGTTTGATTGAATTTGATTTCTCAATGTTTGATTGACTATACCCAGATGTGTATACACTCCACATTGCTGCTCAGTAAAGGTCATTATACAGGTATAACATCCCATGCTTTACAGGTACTAGAATGTACGCTCACCTATGGTTGCTCCAATATCAGGGTCAAATGTGTCATCAGTGAATCTTAGTAGCAAGCTGTGTTTGCATGGAAACCGTTATAAAAATTAGTTGACTAATTCAATCGTAATATGTTCGTATAAACACATGTGTATTTTTCTATGACATTCGATAGTTAATTACTTAATGTAATAATGTAATTCTTATGTTTAATTCATCGTGATAACTCTATATAGTTTCTGCTGAGTCAATAAAATTAAATGTAGATGTAGATGTACAGTGTAGAAGGAGATGTTTAAGTAGAAATTTGAAAGCACATCCAAAATATCGCAAAAAAATTCTTCACATAAATTATGATTTTTCAAAGCAGCATCTATAAATCCATACCGCATCAATACAAAA